ACAGTGGTGGGTTCTGTTGGGAAACGAGGCAGCAACCACAAGCAAGAATAGAATGCACAAGACACACGATTTTTACGTGGAAAACCCAAATCGGGAAAAACCACGGGACCTTTGTCCAAGCCACAACTGCACTAGACTTTGGTGGGATTACAAGTCCTCTCTAGACTAGCTAGAGGATTACAAACACCTCAAGAAAACCCTTCTTGGATCAACAATCAACCACAATAGCTCTCACCAACGTGGTGGATAACTAGAACAAGAGCAAGGCAAGGAGTGGTTTAGAGATACCAAAAACAGATTCGTACACCTTCTCTCCAGCAGCTATTCCTAACGAACGAGAGCTCAGAATGACGATCCATCCTTTCAGAATGAAGCCCGGACAATTGCAAACCCACTGTACAAATTTTAGGACGATCCAACGATTCAATCTTCCAGACTTCTCACTTGAACAGGCTGCCCTGCTGCAAAAACGAAAAACTGCAGCTCTTCTCTCTTCTCTCTTTTTCCTTATCTCTTCTATTTCTTATTCTCTCTCTGAAAAAATGAAATGCTAACTCCTCTTTTCACTTTTGACCAAACAATAACTCTCTATTTTAAAAATAGAGGATCTTCTAGAAACCAACCAAAACTCAAACTCAAACCGGTTAATCCAACCACCATATGAGTTGGACCAATCCAACAAATATCCCCCTCCAAATCATATGGGGGGTAGCACCAAACTTGCTTCATCTCGATAGAAGATATGTTTCCCACTTGGTAGAGACTTAATCATCATGTCCGAACCATTGTCATCCGTATGCACCTTGTTGAGCTCCAACAACTTTTCTTCCAAAACATCACGAATCCAATGATATCGAACATTTACGTGTTTCGACCTTGAATGGAAAGTAGGATTCTTGCAAAGATGGATTGCACTTTGACTATCACAATAGAGCACATACCTCTCTTGCTTTATGCCCAACTCTTGAAGAAACTTCTACAACCGTAGCATCTCTTTGCAAGCTTCTGTTACAACTATGTAGGCGACTTCTATTATTGATAATGCAACACATTTTTGCAGTTTAGATTGCCATGAAACTGCAGCACCTTCAAAATTCATCATGTATCCAGAAGTCGACTTTCTAGAGTCAACATCACCTGCCATGTTAGCATCGGTATATCCATCAAGTATGGTATTGCCATTACCAAAGCATAGACACACTCTAGAAGTACCTCTCAAGTAGCGAAGAATCCACTTCACTGTTGTCCAATGTTCTTTCCCCGAATTGGAAAGAAACCGACTAACAATGCCAACGACATGAGCAATATTCGGCCTTGTGCAAACCATAGCATACATCAAGCTCCCAACAGCTGATGCATAAGGCACATTCTTCATTGCTTCTTTCTCTTCCTCACTTGTAGGACAATGCTACGAACTCAATATGAAATGTCCTCCAAGTGGAGTACTAACCGCGTTAGCCTTGCTCATGTTGAATCGCTCAAGGACTCTTTCAATATACCTTTCTTGAGACAACCAAATTTTTCCGTTCCTTCGATCCCTATAGATTCTCATCCCTAGAATTTGTTTCGTCGGTCCTAAGTCCTTCATGGCAAATGATTTACTAAACTCCTTCTTCAATCTATCAATCTCTCCAACATTCCGAACCACGATCAACATGTCATCCACGTAAAGTAAGAGAATGATGAAATCATTTACAGCTAAGTATTTCACAAACACACAATGATCGAAGGTAGTTCTTGCATACCCGTGGTTGACCATGAATGAGTCAAATTTCTTGTAACATTGCCTTGGTGCTTGCTTCAACCCATATAAGCTCTTTCTCAATCTGCATACAAGATCTTCTTTGCCTTTAACCTCGAACCCTTCCGGCTGATCCATGTATATTTCTTCTTCTAAGTCACCATGAAGAAACGCCGTCTTCACATCGAGTTGTTAAACTTCCAAGTCCAAACTTGCAGCCAACCCAAGTACAACTCGGATAGAGGACATCTTCACGGGAGAGAAAAAAATTTCAAATTCAACACCTATCTTTTGGTTGAAACCCTTCACAACTAGTCGCGCCCTAAACCGGGGGTTTGAACTAGTTTCCTCTGCCTTTAATTTGTAGACCCACTTGTTCTTAAGTGATCTTTTTCCATTGGGTAGCTTCACCAAATCATAGGTGTGATTCTCTTGGCAAGACTTCATCTCTTCTAGCATTGCTTTATTCCACTCCTCCTTGTCTTCAAGAGACATGGCTTCTTGATAATATTCGGTTCTCCCCCATCAGTCAACAATAGGTGCTCGTGAGGGGAGTACCAAGTGGAAGCTTTACGATATCTTCTTGACTTTCTTGGTTCGGGTAGATGTTGCTCTTCTTCAACTTGTTCTTCTTTCTCCAATTGCTCTTCTCCTTGCACTTCTGGATCTAGTGCACCTTGGGGCTCATCATGCAGTACTTCTTCAACATTATCATGCATTTGAGATGGGGATATAGGCTCCAAATTAACCGAATCAGCTGCTGTATTTTTCTTCTTTTCATCCCTTTCGACGTCTTCACTTGTCTCATCTTAAAGAAAAATCACATCCCGACTCCGAACAATTTTCATTGCAATTGTATCCCATAATCTGTGTTGGCAAAAAGCTTGTTCAAAGACTCAAAAGGAATACACGATCAGAGGACTTAAAGAAGGAAACTTAATTCTGTCAGACGAACAAATTGGGAAATTCGGTCTTGAATCAAGATCAAATCAAGATCACGGTGATTAAGCAAAAGGAACCTAACGGTCATAGAATGTGGGTGCATAAAAAGGGAAAAGGGGGAACTGGGTAGAGTAGTTTTCGTACTCGACATTCAAACAAAGAGAAAGGTGAAAATTCTGTGTTTGAAAAGAACGAAAGAGGGTTAGAGCTGTCAGGGAGAGAGCTCGGAGAGATCAGTATCCATCGGATTGGAATAGGTAACGAGGAGTCAGTGTTCCAGAGGGATCCTGATTGTGTAACGGAGAGTCACGGGGAAATTGTATTTGTATTCTGTAAACTGAACTCATACATCTATAGTATATCGTCAAATGGCTCAAACCGAGTGCCTTTGGCCGTGGACTAGTCGATACTGATTTTTCAGTATCGGAAACCACGTAAAAATCTTGGTGTCTTGGTCTGAATATCTATACTGCTAACTCTGTAGTAGTTGTGTCTCTGTTTTGGCAAGGTGCTCTGTTTTGTGCAGGGGAAGAAACTTGGCGTCGGTTGGAGACAGGAAGAAGACAAGTTAAACGCAGACGTTTTTTATAATAAAAGCAAACCAAGAAGCTGGGCTGTCTTCTCGGGCTCTGTCAATTGAAAGAAGAATTGGGCCTAAGCCCAATCGGTTTATTAACACCTTTGCAATCAACTGGTTTTTCAATTTACATTGTTCGATCAAATTGTTTCTGCACTAAAGTTTTCATTCTCAATTTTACAATCAGATTAGGGTTCCTCGTTGCTCACTCGAAAAACACTCGAAAAGCAGGAGCAGTCTCGCGCTCGACTGCGCCAACACGTTGTATCAGATCTGGTCACCGTAGAACAAGGCTTAACAACCTCCGGTGAAGTCGGAAATGGCGTAGGGTTCGTCGAACAGTGGAAATGTGTATCTCGCCGATGGATTTTCTCAGATGCGACCTCCCCGATTCGAAGGTGTTAACTATGGATACTAGAAGAACAGGATGGAGCTCTTCATCGGTTCCACAGATCCAGATTTATGGGATATCGTGATGGATGGGCCGCTTGAAGTCAAAGGAGCAAGAGGCAAATGGTCTGATGAAGACAAGAAGAACTTCCAGCTCAACTCAAAAGCTACCAATCTGATGTACTGTGCCCTTGGTCCTGAGGAATATCATCGAGTCTCGGGATGCAAGAACGCCAAAGAGATTTGGGACAAGCTTCAAGTTGCACATGAAGGCACCTCGCATGTCAAGATCTCAGAATTAATCAGTTCAAGCAAGAGTTTGAATCATTCGTGATGAAGCCTGTGGAATCAATCAAAGAAATGCACGATAGATTCACAAATATAGTAAACAGCTTGAGGAATCTCGAGGTGGAGTATACAAGTGTAGATTTGGTACGAAATATTCTCTAGGCCCTTCCGAAGAAATGGACGCCTAAAGTCACGACAATAGAAGAATCCAAGGATTTGACTCGGTTGAGTTTGGATGAGCTCATGGGGTCGCTTATCACACATGAGGACAAGTTGAAAAGAGCAGAGAATGATGAACCCAGAAGAGAGAAAAGGAGTATAGCATTCAAAGTAATAGCTCTTGAAGATGAGTTTGACCGTTTAGAAGATATGGAGGATGAAGAGCTGGCAATGTTGAGCAAACACGTTGCAAAAATGCTTCGAATAAGGAAAGAAAGAAGAAAAGGGGGGGGGGGGTTCATCAACAGAGCAAAAGAAGGTGAATCCGAAAAGGAGCAATTGAAGCCTTT